CCCACGGCACACCTTACACTATGTCACGGCACACTAGTGTGCTGCGGCACAGTGGTTGAAAAACACTGATCTAATGGGTGTTTAGGAAGTCAAACCTGTTTCCTTGCTACTGATCTCCTGTCCTAAAAATATAGGTAAGTGGCATCTTTGAACCTGAAAGATGAAAGTAGGTCGGCATTTTCTGCTTTGCTTTTTTCCCTGCTTCTCTGCCCTTCAACCAGCCTTTGTGGGCAGCCAATTAGCTGCCTAGCATCTCCCTTACTAATTATGTGCCAATAAGGAAACAAACTGCTCTAGCTTTGCAATTGCATTGTCTCCTTGTTTTCCTGCAGAAGACGCAAAATTTGCATGGAGGGCAAAGGATAAATTGGTTGAGAGCCACCCAGATTTCTACTCTAGAATGGGTAGCCATACAGATTTAAAAAAATAAAAAAATATAATGGGCAGCAGCTAAGACTGAAGGCTAACTGGTGGCTTGTGAAATGGCAGAAATGAGAGAGTCTTAGCTTGGATTCTTCCTGTTGGTCCAGAAGACACAGTGCAAATGTGAAAACTAACCAAGGGCATGACAGTAAAAACCGCTGCATATTCTCTTCTCTCTAAGAAGAAAATACTTGGTTATGTGTACTGCCAAGTGTCCACTGATTCTATCCCTTTCTCTCTCTTTTTTTGAGTCTTGCTTCTGCAGAGTCTTGCTGTCTGTGGCCAATGAGCAAACAATGTCATCTGTGGGTTAGTTTGGGTTGTCCACTATCATTGGATGGTATTTTGTTTCTACCTTTGGATTTCCTGAAATCATTTGGTTTGCTCTGTTGGATGTGTAAAGACTCAAACTAACAGGAGAAACATAGGATGGGCAACTTGCATCCCATTTCTTTTAATAGCAAAAAAGTTGATCGGTTCGGTGGCTGCAGTTACCCAATTGCTGTGTTCCTGCTTTTGTTGGCATTGGGGAAACAAGTTTGCTTAGGGATCTCTGGAAAAAGGAAGAGATCCCTCCTGCTTTTTCCTTTCTCCAAAGGACTCTGGAAAAATGAGCTGCTGCTCACAGGTCTTCCTGCAACCGTTGGAGGTCCAGGAATGGATTTCCCTCTGAAATAGCTTTAACACACGCTTTGCTGCAAGTATTCACTCTTTCCCAACCAGGCCGCAAATCCAGCAGGTTCTAAAAGGAACTACATAAAATCTGGCCTGTAACATCTCAGTTCAAATGTCATTGCTAATTAGAAAGTGTCCAGCTGTCTCGCTGCTCCTGCTTCCATCTACTTTTTATTCTTTGCGGTTTGGCTTAGTGAAAAATGCATCACTCCGCTGGCATTAGTGTTCCTTGTCAACGTGTGTTACTTGTGATACTCTTGCTTCCAGCTCCTTGGGGCCAGATCATGTCAAGAGCTGCCATGTAGTGATTAAAAGGTCATAGAACAACCCTCATTTCAGTCTCTCAGGCACAGTGCTTGGTTGCTAGCGGGAATGGCCAACACAACACTTTATTTATCATGGACACTACCCCTATGGTGCCTCTAGAACAACATAAATGGCTGCCTCTCACTGGGTCTGAATTATTCATATGCCCATGTGTGCTTAACCTCTTTTTGACTCTTCAGTGGGTCAACTAACACAGCTAAAGAATCTTTTTCTTTTATTTTTTTTAAAGTGATAAAAATAGAGCGAAAAATAGCACCATGTTAGCACTGAAACATAGCAAGCTGAACCAGTGAGGTAAATAACCCAGCATGTAAAATTGCCTCAATAAGATAGCAGAATTCATATACTACTGACAGGTACAGATGAGGCCCTGAAGACCGTTGCAAAGAAAGTCCTGGGCTCATGTCTATTGATTGCACTTCAGGTGGTTATTAAATATGCAACAAGGCCTTCCCTGGAGACAGAAGGTGCGAAGACAGATTGGTGCATCGAGTCATTTAAGAATCGAGGTCCCAAGATCTTTAAGGCAGCTTTGTCAACTGATTGTGGCCAAGTATTTGAACTTCAGTTCCCATAATTTTGAACAATGATTCTGTTGATTGTGGTGTTCCAGAACCTTAAGTCAACAGTGGTATATATATATATATATATGTGTGTTTTTATTTATGCTTATGCTAACAAAGGCAACAGTAAAAAATATTGGGTTTCTGTCTGGATGGACTCTTGTGACGAGCCTAATGACAGAGAGTGGAAGTGTGACCTTCCTNAAAAAGACGCAACATTCACAATTTCCATGGGGCTGGATGTTTCACAAGCCCCCCTGGCCTGCTGGAGCAGCCAGTCATGACATAATCATGTTTTGCTGAAGCTGATAGCTATATGATCACTCTGATCATAGATCAATATATGATCTATATCATATCATAGATCAGCTATATGATTAATGTTGATCATTGAATGATTAATGCTTTCTCTTCCAAATTTCTAGTCCCAGGAGGGGAAAAGGGAAGTTCATGACACTGTCTTTGTATGCCTTTTCTTTTTTACACTCTACTCCTGCACAGTTTCTTTTCTAAGAACGCAGATTGTTAAACTTTTTATTTTTAAGTTAACTCCACACTCTCCTTCATAAATTGAATGTTGAAATTCTTACCATTAATCAGTAAAGGCCTTTCTTCGTGAGAATTGTAATCTTTTATTTAAAGTCACCAAGACTTTGAGCCCGAACCATAGCTGCTGTGCTGAAGAGTTGACAAAACTCCCTTTCACAAGGAGATATTGTCTTGTTTGCTCTGTGTCTTTGCTGATGCCAGCAGTTATATCGGAATAGGGAATTATATCTAGGCCCAAACTTTCATAGATAATTTATTTTCTCATCACTTCAGCTGCTTGTGTGTTTTGATCGTAGGGAAAGGGACAGTTTTCATATTTTGATGTGAATCTGTTTTCTTAAAAAACAGTTGAGACAGTTAACTTGTCTTGCCAGACGAAAACAGTACAACACATTTCAAACTTGGGCAGGCAATTATGAGAGATCCACAACCAGACCGTTTTGAAGTGAATGAAAAGCCATTGAGACTAAATCAGTAATTCTTCTGAATGGTTGTTTCAGAAGATGTCACAGTTAGGCAGACACTTAAAAAGATTGCCTGATGAAAGGGAACTGTGAACTTAGGAAGACTAAAATAGCCGTCTCATTAGGAAAATTCTGTTTAGCAATTCCTTGAAAAGTGGATTGTAGTTTTGAAAAGGTTTCTTCAAAAAGGGAGGAAAAAAGACTATTGTACCTCATGACAAAACAGATAACTTAGCTGCTTTTATTGGAACACTTTCTAGTTTTATGGAAAGAATAGTATCAAACCAGCCTATAATTGCTCCTCCCTTTCCCCTTCACAATAGCATATAAAATGATATCACCGCTAAACCCATTACTTGATTTTCATCTCAGCTTCCCCTCTGTAACATAATTTACTAGAAATGAAGAAATGAAATACTAAAAAAGGGGGAGGGAAGTGTCTTAGACATGACAGGCAGAGACTTCTGTAAATGAGAGTCTTAGCTTCCAGAAAAATAACTCCTTACATTTTGTGATAGTTGCTGTTAGATTTTCCTAAAACGGTCTGAAGTTCTTTGCCTCTAGCACATTGCTATTTTTAAATAGGATAATTTTAAGATGACATCTTGCTACCTTTTTTCACAAGGAAAATATTGGACTACTTGGCAGTATTTCACCAAAATAGATACTTGCCATTAAGAATCCCTTAAAGTGAAGCCATTTGGGATGGATAATGATCTAAAATTACAACAGTGAAGAGAATGGAGGGATTTGGTGGAGGGGTTTGCTTATTTGTTGTTGTTGTTGTTGTTGTTGTTGTCAACCCTGCAAATGTTTATTCAGTGCAGCTTCAAGTATATACATATAGATTTTTTCCTGGCTGTAATATATCAGAAAAAACAATATCATACAAGGTGACTTTTAAAGTCAGTTGTTGTAACAGGATTTGGACGTGTTTAACATGGTGGTTCCAACAATGTTGGAAAGAGACATTTAAGCCAATGCTCAGTTCCCTTTAGCCCTTTATCTAATGGAGATAAAGATTTATCTAATTTATCTAATTAATAAATTTGAACTATTATTAATAAATTGTCTAATTAATTAATTGTCTGATTAATTCAATTTATCTAATGTTCAGCCTTTGCATGAAAATATTGTGTGACATGTATATGCTGAAATAGAAAATTAGCCTGGTGAGAGTCATTATAGGCATTGCCAGGAAAAAGGAAATATGTATATGTGACCATCAATAACAAAAGACAGATTCAAATGAGACAAAGACTAAGGAGTAGAGAAGGAATGTGTAGTTTTTTTAGATTAGATTTTCCCGGTGTGTAGATTAGAGGTGCTTGTGTACAGTTTTCAACTTCTTTCTCACTAGGAGGTAAGTGATCCCATTGAGAATCATAAAATTAAAAGGGGTTATTCAGGCCTTTGAATCCAATCTCCTATGTAGGTCAGGAATTTTAATGTATCCTCTGTGTTTGTCTACATTCTACTTGTATATATCCAGTGAAGGGCAATCCATCACCTATCTTGAGTAATTGCTTCCATTATCAAACTGCATTGATTGTTAGGAACTTTTTTTTGCTAACAATATAGAACAAGTCCTGTCTTTCTTTTGTGTGACATCCATTCAGTTTTTTGAAAACCGCTATCATCTCTCTCTCTCTTTTAAATATTCTAAACTCCTTCAATCTCTTTTCATGGGACTTGGTTTCTTGTTCTTTGATCATCATCATTGCTTTTCTCTGAATCTATTCCAATTACTCTGAATCCTTTTTAATATGTGGCGCCCATAACCTCAATACAGTACTGTGATTGAATCAGACCCATGTAAAAGAAGTGGAACTATGTCTCCTATAATTTAGAAACTACACTGATTCAGCCCAATATTGATTTTTTTGCCCCAGCAACATCATATTGCTGATTTGTATTCAGTTTTGCATGCAAGATCTTTTTCACAAGTACTGTTACCGAGGTAATGTATATTTGATTTTTAAGTGAAGAACCTCCATTTCATTCTGTAATTTTCAGTTAATTCCTCTAATCTTTAAAGAGCATCTTGAAATCTATTTTTGTCTTTTAGTAATACCACCCAATTTAGTGTTAACATGGAAATATATTAAGTGGTCCCTCTATTTTTTTATGTAAGTCATCAATACAGAGAAAGATATTAGGAGAATGTCTTGGCAATGATGAGGAGGTGACACTTCTCAAGGGCTAGTCTTTATCAGCAACCTGAGTGAGCAGATGAGAGACTTCTTTGTGAAGAGCCCTTTTAAAGTGGGCTCTTCACTGATAAACACGGAGCACAATTTAAGAAAGTGGTTCATATTGCTAATACATTGCGTAAAAAAAAGCAAGAAAAAAACTTTGTTCTGTAAAAAATGTTCTGTTGTGTTAACATACAGACCGTACTCAGTTAATTTTTTCAATAACTTACTTGAAATATCATTAAAATCTACATCTTAAACATCATTAAAACAATTAAACAATCTTTTGGAAATTCCCCAAATCCCTCATGGAGTCAGTACTATGTAGTAATTGCTCCTGGAAGTTTAGCTTGACAGAGCTTCAGTGTATCTTAAGAGGGTTGGAATTGTGGGTGAAACTCTGCCTCCTTATGTAAACATGATTTGCAAGTCTAATAGAACATTCAGGGAACTCAAAGCCTTCATGCATCTCTGTCTGGATGGAAAAATGGGGATACTTCTCTAGGTGATTCTGCTCAATGAGTCACATCTTTAATCAAATGTCGTGTGTACTCCACTCCTCCCTTGCCTTTTAATTAAGCCTTAATTCTGAAGGGTTTCTCCATCCTTTAAAGCAGTGGGCCCGAAGAGCAAAATGTAAGCCTCTATCAAGGCACTTTTTCAGGAAGCTGGGCAGGCATCAACAGTAGCTTATACTGTTAAAGTTGCATCAGTCTTCTTGTGATTTGTATACTAACATTACCTCTCTTACAATTATGTCTTTAAATTCTTTTTCAGATCTTTCCAAAGTAAAATTAATGCGATTTGATGATCCTCTCCGGGGACCCCGACGTGTTCCTGTGCTTGGGAAGGAAGATGCTGAGAAGTCTCCCATTTTAGATGAAGCTGTCTTTCATATAGACCTAGCTCAAAAGAGGGTTCGACTCACTGAGAATGGACAGACAACTGATATTGGAGATACATTGGTCTATTTAGTTAATTAGATTTTGCAAGTGTTGGGTTAATCAGTGTTAACTCTTTAATCAACACCGATGCTTTTCAGGCGCTTGCTAAATTCAGGCAAACTTAACTTCAAGGGGGAAAAAAGGTTCATTTGCATGGAGATCAATCTCCTGCAGTTTTTAAAATGTGGATACAATAAATCTATTTTCCTTGCCTGAGGCTTTTCTTGAGAATGTCCTTCCTACTTCTAGCCAAGGTACAGAGTTTATTAAAAATAATGTTTATGTAATTTGACATGCATGTGCAATATTGGCACTTATAATAGCAATTCTGGACTATATATAGTAGAAATATTGATATGTCAGAAGTGAAGTCATCCTGGCCTTTATCTAGAGTTGACCATCCTTTTGAGAGAAGGCGATCCCAGTAATTTGGTGTGTGACACCCTTGAGAGCAAAAAAAGCAACAGGATTCTATTTAAAAACTTCTCCGGAGCTTTGTTTCCATTTGATTTTTCCATTTTGACAGTGCGTGGATCAAGTGTTTCATGCAGTCAGCATCCCGTGAGGGGAAGGAAGAAAATTGGAGCTCTATAGAATCAGACTTCACTGCAAGTGAAGTAGGCTCTTTGTTTCCCTTTATACCAACCTTCTCCAGTTTGATGATCTCTCTTACGTTTTGGGCTACCTTCCATTGATATTAATTAATATAGCAATAGCACTTAGATTTATATATTGCTTAATAGTGCTTTATAGTGCTCTCTAAGCGGTTTACAGAGTCAGCCTATTGCCCCCAACAATCTGGGTTCTCATTTTACCAACCTCAGAAGGATGGAAAGATGAGTCAACCTTGAGCCCCATCCATCAGGATTGAACTCTTGGCAATGAGCTGAATTAGTCTGCAGTACTGCATTCTAATCACTATGCCATCATGGCACAGGATGGTGAAATGGCCAGGGATATTGAGAGAAAATACTGATGTTTGTCTGAGAAGTCTTCAGAATCATGAAATCCCATGCCAGTCAAGTGATGTATTTCATCTAGTTCTCCTGTTGATTGCCTTCAGTCTGAATTACTGTCAGAATCCTACATTTAGCCAGTTGTATGTAGGCTTTAGAAAGAAGAACGTTCTCATGCTGAAGAGAAATGATAAAGAAGACAATGGTCATGTCCCTGCCCCATTATATAAGCATATTGCAAGAAACATTTAAAATTCAATTTAAGCCTGGAGGACGTTAGGGAAGGCATATTTACAAATTGAGAAATAAAGGGATGATGATCATTCATTTTATATCCTCCCTTTCTACTTGCAGACTACTTAAAATGAATAAAAAATAGACTGATCTACAATAAAACACAAATAAGTTAAACAAAATCAGTTAAGTTATGAGGCTAACTCAAAAGGCCAAGTGAAAAGGAATGTTCTTGACGGTTGTCCTGAAAACAGAATGAGCAAGGACTATAAAACTCTTGGGACTGTATTCTGTAGCTTAGGGGTGATTCAGAAAACATCTTTCTCTAATGGATCTAACAAGCATTTGTAAACATGGCCTCAAAGGGGGATTTTGTGACCTTTAATGTCTGGACAGGTTCATACAAAAACAATCTTTCAAATACTCATTACAGTATTAATGAGGTAAGATCTAAGCCTATCCTTGAGGTCTCATTAAAAGTATCATTTTGCCCTGCTCTCAATAATTCTAAGCGCATTGGCTATGTGTCATCCTTCTAGTATGGAGGCTGATCTTTGGAATGTGCAGTGTATTTTTATTAGAAGATGAACAGTTTATTCTTTAAAAGCATTTGGGTGAGCGTCACCTCGACCTAATGACTTAATTTGCTTTTAGTTAAGCTTCATTGTTCCCCTCTTGTCGTCATTATTTGCTTCAGTGCCAAACATAGTTTGAATGCTATTTTCCCTGTAGTTTTTACACCATGGATAAACTGAGTTTCTCATCCTGCTCTAATAATAATAATTTAAAGTCATTGAACAATAGAAGAAGATAATAGAATAATTGTAGCTCAGAGTTGAACCTGACCTCTTGAGCTCAACCAGAGAACACCAAGGACCCCACAGTCATTAAACAGTCCAGTGTGTTTAGTTGGTTTTCCATTTCTGATGGATTTAAAGATTTTTTAAAAAGCCACTGCAAAATTGAGTGAATGACTGCAAGTCACACACAAACTTGAGCAAGTGAATGTGTATATCTTGATAGAATTTTTTTATTAAAGATTGATGGAGACATCTCAAGTTGTATAAGTTTGTAACCAAGATTTATGGTAGGTTATTAGAAATTAATATTGAAAGAAGCAAAAGATGAATTTGTTTCTGATCTGTTTGTTATATGCAAGTGAAATTGGGTATGTTGTGAATGTGTATATGGGGTGATTTCATCATATAGTCAGACTGAATCACTAAACAGATACACAAGGCAGAGCAAAGTTGTCATTGGATGATGAGAACCTGAAAAAAAAAAGATGAGAAGTTTAAAGAAGAAAAGTCAAAGAATGAAACAGTTTGTGGACATGATGTAAACAAGATACTTTGCAATGATAGAGGTATATAGAAATATAGAAAATTGTGTTGTGGTAAATGAAGACTCATTTTTTCTTGCCTCTATCCTCTTTTGTTTATTGCTACTTATCCTTTTTCTATAAAATTCTTGACAAGGAATAGCATTATGAGTTGGTCTGTCATCTTAAGTTGAATTAATTGTGTGAAGTTTACTTCAAAATAGTAAACAAATGCAGTGGAAAGATTTGACATCCACAATGGAAGAGCGAACAGTGAAGATGAATTTGCAGAGTTGGCCACTGACAGCTTTGATTAGAAAAGACACTGAGTTCAATGCCGATTGGAAAAGCCATTTGGACTTTTGTGAGAAACGAAAAATAAATCTAGGATACATAGGTTTTATGTTGAGAAAAAATAGTAGATGATATAAAAATGATGATAGATCATAGAGTAAGAGTTCAATTTAAATTTAAATTTATACCTATAATTTGTAAAAGCACATTGTGTTGAGGTAGTTATTTTTTTTCTGTCTTTTTAAAATATTATTTCCCCCCCTGAATTAATTAATTAATTAATTAATTAATTAATTCCTCCCTCCCTCTCTCCTTCCCTCCCCTTTTTTAAATGGAAGGGGACAAAAGTAGAAAATGTTTCCAATGAGCTTTCAGAAATGGCAGACTGAAGACAGTCAAAAAGCAAATAGAACAACTTTTTGATAATCCCGCTCCAAATAAGAAGACTTGAGCTGGCCCACAAATGCTTAGACAGCCGTTCCTCATGAGGAGATTGCAAGATAGTGATCTAGGGTTGGTTTTAGAATTCTGGGAGATGAGGGAATAATCGGTTCCACCACAAATCCGCGAAGCCCTTATCCGCGGAGACATAAGCGCGAACACTAATTCGCGCCGTTCTAAGCGCTAAGGAAAAACGCGACCCTACTGCCATGACAGAATCGTGGAGGGCAAAATCGCGCATTCCCAAGCACTCAGTACCCTAAACCTAAACCTAACCCTAAACTTAACGCTAAACCTAACGCTAAACCTAACGCTAAACCTAACCCTAAAACAAACCCTAAAACAAACCCTAAAACAAACCCTNAGATGATAGATAGATAGACAGACAGACAGACAGACAGACAGACAGACAGACAGACAGACAGACAGACAGACAAATGCACCAGAGGCTACTTTGTGGTGCAAAGCGGCCCTTCACTTCCCTTTAGGCCAAGACTAAAGACAAGACCGGTGTAACGAGGGACAAGACAGAGCCCAGCCAAGGGACCGTGGCCTGAGTCGCAAAGGGCTTTCCGCCACCCTGAGATGGGAGAGGAGGGCCGCTTTGGGTCAAAGCCTCCCGCTTTCGTCCCCCCCCCCCCAAGGTTCCCTCCTCGGCCGGCGGCGGCGCTTTGATGCAGTCCCGGAACCTCGAATCAATAACCAACCCGCGCGCGCGCCCCCCATTCCGCCACTATTTCCATGGAAACCGCCTGAGCCACTTCTTATTGGAGGGCTCGCAAGAACCCGGGCCGGGCGCTCCTGGCTCGGCGGCGGCTTCTCGTTTCCAAGCGCTGAGGAAATTCCTCTCCAGCCGGTTGGGGAGCCAAGGCGCCCGGTTGGTCCCGAAGCCGGTCCCCGGAGGGGGAGGGGGGTGCGACTGAGCATGAGGCAGCCGTCCGGCCGGACGAAACCTCCGTAGCAAGACAGCAGCATACAGGAGAACGAGGAGGAGGAGGCTGCCCGGAGCTCAAGGAGCGAAAGTGTGCCGGCAAAAGGCGCCTGGATGCCGAGGAGCCGCCACCAGCGAGGGCATAAGCGGGCTGGAGCCCTGGACCTTTTGTATATAGCGGAACGCGAGGGACGCTGCCGCCGCCGGCTCCTCCTCCTCCTCCTCCTGCTGCCAAACCAGTGACAGCTCAGCAGGCGAAGGACGCGCGAGCCGAGCCCCTCTCGCCGAGGAGCCGCCGCCAGGTCCTTCCACTCCGGCGGGGAAGCCGCTGCGGCAGCTCCGCCCTTTCCCCTCCAAACGCTGCCTGGGCTGGGGCGCTGGGATGCCAGCGCGGGTCCCCGAGTCCCGTGGCAGCGTCAGCCCGCGCGCCCCCAAGCCCGCCTCCGGTCTCGCTGCGGTAACCGCTGCTCCCGCCTCCTCCTCCTCCTCCTCCTCCTCCTCCTCTTCCAAGCCGAGTCCGAAGGGAACGTCGCCCCCGCTGCTCCGCGCCGAGAGATGAAGAAGAGGCAGGGCTGGGGGAAGCCCAATGCGCAGCTCCTCCAGGATTGGGCACGGAGCAAGCCCGGCGACGGCGCGGCTGAGCGCGGAGGGCACATCTCGGTGGGAGCAGCTATGCCGGAAAGTGCTGGGAGCCCTGGCGGAGCCGAAGGGACCCAGACAGCCCTGGAGTTGGAAGTCCCGTCTCGGGGAAGCTCTCCGTGCTCGGAGCAAATGCCCGGCACCACGGAAGAGGTGTATCGTGCCGAAGGGTTAGAAGGCTATCCGGGGGAGGCACCGGTGCAGGTAAGGAGGTGGGTCGTCTAGTGCTTGTGGGGCTCCGTCACGGGAAAGCAACGGTTGGTGTGCGATGTCCCGAGGAAGATCTTCCATGTTCAAAGGCAGTCTATCCCTGAAAGTGTAGGAGGATGCCAGACTTGTGACATTTCAGAAGCGCTTGGTTTGTCTTCAGATAGGAAGCGGTAGGTTTGTTTCTGCCTGCGGAGTTTTCCTGCCTTCCTGTCTTATCTGGGCAAGATAGTCCCGGCTCCGGCTGATAGCTGGGAAATGCCTTACAACGTTAACGGGTGATGGTGGCAGGTAATTTAGAGCATCTTTTGCGATGTATGAGATGCAAAAGTTCATTATTCTTATTTTTTAGAGCGTATAGAGAGGATTGGTTCACTGATTGCCTCTCTGTCTCTCAAGGTAATTTATTTTAATTGCAAGTGCTGAAGCCAAAAATAGGACCTGGAAGCCTTTGGATCTTACTAGGAGTAGGAGGTGAAGGATTGCTGTTGGTTGCTGCTGGAAACGGAATGGGGAGGATGGAGTAGATGGACCTTTTCGTCTGATCCTGTGTAGCTCCTCCTAGGTTGCTCCTAGGTTTACTCTGGATTTTCTGCCCTTGGTAACCAATGCAAAATGATAACCATCTTCTTTTTCATGGGCAGTGGGGTGTCTTCTTGTTACAAATCCATAGCTGCAAGGAAGGAGGTGGCAAACCTTCTAGGCAGACATTAAGGAGGAACCATATTTCCCACATGGCACACCAGCTGCAGCACCCTTGCCATTTAAAAACCCCATAGGAAGGACCTTCCAAGGCTAGAAGAAGCCCCTTTATTTTCTGGAGAAGCTAAAGCATGGCAAAGATGCAGCAGTGCCCATTAACTATTATGGCTACATGCAGTTGACTCGTTCAGAAACGATGTACTTAATGGATGGGAAAGCAGCAGTAGGAAGGAGAATCTGAGCTTGATGCCTTGCTGGTAAGACCTCTTTGCAAGCATCCAGGGGCTACACCTGGTTGGGTTTATTATTTTATGTATAAATATTTATAGCTAGCACATTGTCCTTTGGATGGGGTAGGATGCAATCCATAAAATAAGTGCGGTAAAACACAGCAATGACCTTACTAACATAATCAAGAGGCAGAGGTGTTGACAAGAATCAACAGGGCATTTACCAGACTGAGGTTATTAAGTTCCAAATGATGGAGTGAAAAGTCTTTATTTGTCATAGAAATGTAAGCAAAGTGGCTATTAGCCTGGTCTCCAAGAAGGGGCGTTTGTTCTGGGGTTGCACAACAGAAGAGGTCCTTTTCTCTGCCCCCACTTTTTCTAACCTTCGGGTGCCAAGGGGGAACCACCCTAAAGGTCTTAATTTTCAGGCTGGTAAAT